GCTCTACCCTCTCCACTCCTGTTATCGTCGCTGTCCTCGCTGCTGCTGCTGCTTCTGCTGCTGCGCCTGCGTGACTGCCTCCACCTCCTACACCACCTCCACCACCACGCTCATCCACCCACCGACGCCTCCTACTCTCACTCCCGCGCGACGAGGGTGCCATACACACTCCCTGACCCGACGCCTCTGCCTCTGTCCGCCATGCCTGCGGATACGGTCTCCTCCACCTCCAGCTCCGCCTCCACCACTTCCAACACCACTACCACTTCTTCTTCTTCCTCTTCTTCCTCCTCCTCCTCCCACTCGTCATCTTCCCCCTCCACCACGTCCACTTCCTCCCTCCGTACGCCAACGCCCACTTGCTCCCTGGAACCAACGATGAACCCTGGAACCATTTCTCCCCTCGAGTCAGCCGACCCTCCATATCGTCCCCTAGAATCAACGAAGGCTGGGGATTCAACTGCTGAATCTACGGCGCCCACACCGCCCATCCTCTCACCGCCCCCGCCCGTGACCTCCACTTTAGAATCAGCATCTCCCGAATTAGATGTGGAGCTTGCACCTACCGAAACTGCGGCCCTTGAACCAGCGGAGACAACGCCCCCTGGCCTTGAACCGTACATTCCTAGAACCTCCAACGTAGAACCGACAGCGCCAACACCTTCCGCTCTAGAACCAGCAACACCTCCAGCTTCATCCTCAACACCAGCGAAACTCTCAGCCTTCAGTGTGAAACAAACAGAGCCCGTAACTCCCCCCCTACAATCAGGTAGTCCCACAACCTGTGATGCGGAAAGAGCTGCACTTACAACCTCTGATACGGAACCAACAAATCCCACTTGTTGCAGTCTGGAACCAGTAGAGTCAGCACCCTTACATGAGGAAACAGCGGTGCTCACAACCTCAGAAGAAACAGCAATGGCTATAATCTTAGGAGAGACAGTAATGGCCACAACCTCAGAAGAGACAGCAAGGGCCATAACCTCAGATGAGACACCGATGGCCACAACCTCAGAAGAGACAGCAATGACCACAGCTTCAGAGGACACAGCAGTGGCCACACTCTCAAAAGAAGCCACAGCCACGTTGATTGCCGAGGAGCCCGCGACGCTGTCGACCACCACCCTTGGAACACCCATACCCACGTCCTCCATCCAAGAGCAAGTGACAGGCACGCACTTATCTAAGGACCAAGCAATATCTACATTGCCCACGTCTTTGATCTCGATCCAAGAACCCACAGGTCAAGCAACACATTCCGTCACCACCCTGGAGCCACCGATCCCTTTGAGTTCCTCCCAGGTATCAATTACATCCTCAGTTGATATGCTAGAAACATCGATGTCTGTAACTACACCTTCTATCCGGGAATTCACTACCAACACGTCTACAGCTTGCACACTTCCACTCGACAGTAACCCCTTCGCCTGCAGCCTTTCTGCTTTCCCACTCCCGTCTCTCTCCCCTTCACTCCCGGATATTGAGTTCCCGCGAGACTCTCCTGCACCTGATCGCCCATTTCCCTTGTCCTGCGGCTCTAGAACATCCTCTGCCACTGTAGGAATCTTCCCTTTTGAAGAATGGACACAAAGCAGGGAGTCGACCCCGTCTGCACCTCGTATGACAATCAAAACCGGCAGGTGCCTCGACCCCGCCCTCTACCCATGCTTCTCCTGGGCGGACACGGCGGCGGGGGGTGACACCTCCATCGCGACCACCTCTTGCACAGCAATCAAAACTGTTTTAGTTTACCCTCCCAGTCCTGTGACACCTCGAAAGGCCCTCAGAACAGAGGTAGGGGACACCTGTGCGTCGGCAGCAGCAGTCCGTTGCCTCAGGACGAAGTCGAAGTCCCAGTTCACGAATGACTTTGGTCGAGACGTTTCGGAGAATAAGGAGGATGTCCTTTACTGCCCAGCGACTCCAAGAAGGGCCCTCAGATTCCGGAATGTCGTCCCTTGCAGCGCTACGACGCATGGCAGAGCCATCAAGACTGAAAGTTGGGGACTACATGGCGCCAGCGTGCCCTTCCGCACATTTCATGATGGAGGTTTTGCCGTTCACAATATCAGTTCATCATTGTTCGGTCCAGTCAAGACAGAATGTGCCGTTACATTCTTCACCGCATCACCGCGCCCACCCATCAAGAACGACGCTTTCCTTCCAGCATCACCACGCCCTCCCATCAAGAAGGAAGGCTCGGCCACTTTCTTCACTGTCTCGCCGCGTCGGTCCATCAAGCAGGAAAGTATTTTCTTCGGTGCAACACCTTGGAGGTTCTTTGAGGTCGAAGGCCGTTCTCAATACAGAAGGATAGAGCCCTGCGAGGCTATCGTAAAGAAGGAAGTTTCCACCCATTATGAAATGGGCAAGTCCGAAGACTTCCTGAGTTGCGGGGCCACTCTGTGCCACGGGGTAGTCACTCCTAGGAGGCCTCTCAGGTTGTGATTTGTGTGTCCGTAGCAGAATGAAGGATGCCTATGATCACGATACCATATCC